GTTGGAAAAACAGTTACAAAAGAATATACTGTTGGATTAAAAGATTCAATTAATGATCTTAATGCACTTGGAAGAACAAAAAGAGGGAAGACAACAAAACAATCATCTCATAATGAACCAAATGCTTTCAATCTTCATTCTTTTATTTTAGTTTATACTTCATTATCTTCATTAAATAATTATTCTTTCTTTGATGGAAAAATCAATGCTATAGCAATTGTTCATTTAATTAATGGAAAAGTTATTCCTAATTGTTTAGGAAATATATGGGTATATGTTAGAGATTGGTCAGAAGAAGATGGAAGATGTGGGAAATTTAATGTTGGAAAACAAAATGTTACATGGTGTGGTGGAAAATATCATCCAGATCCTCTTCATGATGATACTTCAAAATATTTAAAAATCACACTTTAATTTTTAATTCAATTATTTTTTAATAACATTAACATCTCCTGTTAAATTATCTATTTTTAATACTTGTTTCTTATCCATTCATAAATAAAGATAATATGCTACTGTTCCACTTGAATTTGCTGCTGTTTGTCGAAAAATATAACTAAAATTCTCTTTAGAATATCCTTTAAAAATAATAATTGTTGCTACTTGTGTTTTAAATGATGCATTTAATGCCTTCCATATATGTAAATTCACAATAATTGTTGTTTTCAAATGTCTTAATCTTGTAATAATTTCTCCCCATGTTTTATCCGCTTTCATCATTGCAATTGTTGCATCTTCTAATATAATTAATAAATGTTTCTCTCGTGCTTGTTTATAATATTGCACTAATGCTGGCATAAATTTCTCATAATTCATTCCATATATTGGTGTTTTAATTAAATCTTTTAATTGTTTAAATGTTTCATCTTCTCCTGCATTTTGTGCTACATAAATAATAGCCCCATATAAATGTTCTATATGATTCATTTTTATTAATTCTTTCATTATAAATGTTGTTTTTCCTGTTCCTTGTTTCCCTAATACTATATTCAAACTATTATAATAAAAGAAGATTTGATGATGTACTTTTTGTATTTTATTCCCTTCTTTAATTTCTGATAATTTATCTTCTATCATTTCTTCTATTCTATCTATTCCAATCTCATCTTCTTCTTCTTCATCTTCTATACTATTTATATCTTGTGGATTTGTTTCAAAATATTCCATTCTAAAAATAATTAGTTCAAAAAAGTATTTAAATTAGATTTATTTCTATTCCCATTGAATAGCATAAAGAAGATTAACTCTTTCTTTTAAAACTCCATTTCTAATCTCTTCATTCATTCGATTCTCATTAACTAATAACATTCGATTTCTTTCTAATTCTTTTCTTAATCTCTCATTTTCTTCAAGTATGTCTATCATTAATTCAATTGCATTATCATTCATTTGTCTTTTAATAAAATGTGTAATCTTTTCTTTATTATTCATTTTATTCTTCTTTGGTTTTATTTCTTCATTTATTGGTTCTGGGGTTGTTGGACATGGTGGAAGCTCTGGTGCTCCTGTAAAGGAACACATTTGTGTACTGTTGTTATCACTAGCAATTGACATCGTTTGTTTGTCATTAAGTTATTTAAGTTGTATTTATATCATCATTTCATTCTTCATTTTGTGTTTCATTTCTTATTTATATCCTATTTTTCATTCATATTTCATTCATATTTCTATATTTTATTACTTTATTTCTATATTTCTTCATTCCTCGATTATTCTTTACGTCATATTTATGATTTATTCATTCATCAGGGGTAATAAATAAATTAAAAACTCAATTTATTCGACTATTTATTCATTATGAATCTCATTATTTTCATTCATTCATGTCTTCCGTAAGAGATTTATTAATGGCGGCTGCTTGCATTGATCTTGATCCTGCAAATCTTCAAGTCGCCTCTTCTCTTTTATCTCAACTTGTTCTTCTTCTTCCATCAATCACAAATGAGAATGAAAAGAGAATATTAAAAAGCGTCTATTGGAAACTTGTATGGCAAATTAATGCTCTTACTGGATGGAGTAAAACCATTAATTGATTATTTTCTTTTTATTATTCTGTATGTTTATTTTCATTCAATATTTAATCAAAATTTAAATAAAATAAAAGAGATAAAAATCATTTAATTATTATTTTATTGATAACAATAATAAAAAGGAGTTAATTAAATTAGAGATTTAAATCTCCCCGTTTTGTTTACGATATAGCTCAAAGACTATATCCCAGGCACCAGCAAAGCCATCCCGTGCCCAAAAGTCATCGAGATATGGGATGACACGAGCTAATACGGTTGGGGATAAATTAGTAACCCCATCCCATTGAATGCAGGTTATTATCGCTATTGCAAACCCGCATTCGTGTATAATCACTACGTCCCAATTCTCGGGATCACTTAAATGATGATAAAAATCATAATATTGCAATAATTCCTCGATGGAAAATTGCATTGAATATTTATTGACAATTGAATCAAGTAATATGTAATCGTTTTCGCATAATGTCAGTTTTATTAGTTTGTATCTGTCAGAGGAAGAAATCGTAGTGTTGTTGTTTATAATGTCAATTATTTTGTTATCATTCATTTTTAATTTGTTACTTCTACTTGTAAAATTTGATCATTTAAATATTCAAATTAATCAGAACATAGGGTTTGATTGATAGAACATGTGCTGTTTATCTTATTATTTGTCACAACATAAACATGACATTAGTCAGAATATACCAATAAAAATCATTTATTTTTTAATACAGAATTACATAAAATGTATTATTTTTTATATTCTTTTGTTTTTTATTTTTTAAAAATAAAATAATAAAGTTACATAAAGTGTAAGAAAAAATAGAATATTCAAAAAGTGTAAGAATAATAGAATATTCAAAAAGTGTAAGAGTTATAAAATATCTTTTTATTACTTCAAAATATCTTCATTATGAATTTTACGAAAATAACGAAGATATAATACTTCAAAATAAGAAAATATATAAGAATAGATCAAAAAATATCCAACAATCATTCATTTTAAATGGAATACCTCAAAATATCTGTATCCATTCTAAAAATAAAAATACAAATCTATTTATAGAAAAATGGTATTTTAAAAACAATAATAAAAATATAAAAATGTTATATAAAACAATAGTAATAAAAAATGTTATTTATCCCAAAAGGACCAGATTTTCCCACTACATATATATGATGTATCACACTATTGTCAAATTGTACCATTGAAAAATAATATAAAAAGATATAATTATAATTATATTTCAATAAATAAAAAGTAAATAATAAGCAATTAATTAAGTATTAATAGAACTAACTTCTATTGTTCCTGAATCAAGAGAGACTAATCCTGTCTCTTCGTCTTCTTCTTCAAGCATCTCTACAGAGTATGTTTGGTTGTGATTGAAGTTGTATTCCATGACATCCATCATATTTTTAATAACAAAGTTTTTTACTTCTTTAACAATGTCAATTTCAATTTTTAATTCTTTAATTAATTTAATACTTTCTTTATTTATTATTCCATTGATTGATATTACTACTGGATTTATTTTGACATCTTTTAGTTTTTTCTATTTTCATTTGAATATTCTTTAATTCCTTATACATATTTCTTTTCTTCATTTACACTCATTTAATATTGTGATAAACCACAATAGTCATATCAAATAATAGACTAGTTTTATTCTTTTTATCTAATACATATATGTCTGGTATTTTGTGATATTGTCCATCACTTTTAGGCATTATTTGTTTGTTCCATATCATTGTGATGTCTTTATATTGGAACACTGTTTCATATGGAGGTTTTTTATATTGATTATTTCCTGTATATTTTCTTATTAATCAATATTATAATGCCAATATTGTCATGTTTCTCCATTTGTGATTTTTTATAATAAATACAAGATAGTAGAATGTGTTCTACTGTAGCTATCTTGTCTTTACAAATTGTGGAATATTTTAATCTTTCATTTTTCATTATTTTTGCTTTTCTATACCCACAAAATATTGCACCATCTTGCATTTTAGTTAATTGGAGAAATGCATTTTTCTTAATATTGATGGACTTCCATGCTTTCACTGTAGTAGTTTTATCTACTCCTTTTGACTCATTCCATCTTCTAAAATGTCATTTGTTTGATGACACTTCCATTTTTTGATGTATTTGTCAATAATTTTTATTTCTATGACTACTTCTTTTTCTTTTTTCTTTTCTATAAATTCATTTATTATTTCTTCTATGTTTGGGGTTTAATCAACTTGCTCCGAAATGTCACGAAGATTTTATCAACAAAGTTACTCAACAAGAAATAGAATCAAAAAACTCAATAGAGACTATAAGAATGATGATCATAAAATGTTCAATAACTACTACTATAAGAAATATTATTACCCTAATAACACTGTCAACAGAACAACAGAGCACTCAGATTATTACAGAAAATATTATAACCAAAATTATTACAATCCTAGAAGAAAGGTTAACAAGTATTATCATAGAAATGAACGATTTGGAAGAAGAAGATATAAGAATAAAGGATATTATAATAAAAGACAAGGATGGAAGAATAAACAGAAAGAAGAAAACACAAAAATAATACAAAAATGGATGAAAAGATTTGAAGAATTAGAGAGACTAGTTAAAGAGAAATTAGAGACAACAACAAAGGCAGAAGAAGAAGAAATAGCAAAGGAAATGGTAGAAAAGCAAGAAGAAATAATGCAAGAAAAAGAGAATAAAGAGAATAAAGAAAGACAAGAAGAAGAGAAACAAACAATAATACGAAAGTGTGAAGAAGAAAGAAGAAAAATTACTAAAGAATTTGAAGAAGAGATAAAGAAAATGAAGATAACATTTGAGAAAGAAAAAAAAGAGTTAGAAATGAAGATAAAAAGCAAAGAAGAAATACAAAAACAAAGAAAACAAGAAGAGAGGAAAAATAGAGAGAAAAAAGAAGAACAAGAAGAAGCTAGAAAGAGAGAACAAGAGATAGAAAGACTAAAAAGTACACATGCTATAGAAATAAATAAAAAAGAAGAAAGAATCAGAACACTTAAAGGAAAACTAGAGAAACAAAAAAAAAGAGAAAGAAATCCAAGAGATTAAAGAAAAGAAAGAGATTAAAGAAATCAACAAAAAGAGAGAAGAAGAAATAAAGAAAACAAAAGAAAAGATAGACAAGATTAAAGAAGAAATGGAGAAGATTAGAAAGGAGAAAGGCAAAGAAATAGAAGAAAAAGACAAGATAATAGAAGAAGAAAGAAAAGAAAATATAGAAAAAGAAGAAAGAATGAAAAACATAGAAAAAGAAGAAGAAATGAAGGAAAAGGTAAAAGAGAAGGAAGAAATAGAGAACAAATATCTACAAGGACAAATTGATAAAAGTATAATAGAAAGCAAAGTAATGAATGAAAACACAAATACTAATAAATGGAATAGAAAAAAGAGGAATAAACGTAGAAGAAATATTTAAAGAACAAGAACAAGATGAAGAAAATGAAGAAAGAAATTTTCAAAGACAGAAGAAGAAAAGAATAAGGATGAAAGAGACAGAACAAGGGACAATTATACGACGAGCATCATCAGTGACAGAAAAGATGAATATAATAGGGAAAGAACAGAAGAAGATGATCATAATAGAAGAAGAACAAGAGAATAAAGAAGAGGAAGAAGTGAAGCAAGGAGAAGAGAAGAAACAGAATTAAAGAAGAAAGAATATGTCTGTTATGGAATTGACATAATGAATATTAAAATAAAAAAGAAATTAAGAAAAGAAGAAATAAAAAGAATATTAGAAGAATATCATATTGATATTACAATCAAAGAATATATAAAAACAGTTAAAAGAAGTAAAGGGATTAAAAAAGAAATCATAGAATACATTAATAAGAAAGTAGGAGAATTGATTAAAGAAGAAGATAATATAAAAAATGAAAAGATTAGAGAGATTATTAGAAAGAAAAAGAAGGAAGAGATTGATGTAGAATACATAGAAGAGTTAATAAAGAAAAGTAAAAGAAAAGACATCAAAGAGTGTAGATACATTGGATATTATTTCAATAAAGAAATATGTGAAGAAATAATAAGATATATTGATGAAAAAAGGGAATGGAAAGAAGGAGGTATTAGAGAGATACAAGAAGACATTTACAGAATAACATACATAATAAAGAAGTATTTAGAAAACAAATTCATAGGATTTAAGAAATAATATGAAGTAGTAATACAAAGCAAGATAAATAAACTAAAAGACATGGTAATAAGAGGAAACTATAAAAAATTAAGAAGGATATTAAGAATAAGAAGAATGATAGAAGAAAAGATAAGGGGAGAAGTAAATGAAGAAATAAAACAATTAGAATACTTAAAAGAAATGAGGAAAAAGAAGTAGACTTAAACAAAAGTAAAAGAACAAGAATCTACAGAAACAAAATCATGAGTACTACTGGAAAGAAATAAGAAAGGAAATAGGAAGAGAAGAAGAAAGACGATGTGAAGAAGAAACAAAAGAGTTTTGAATAAGATATATAACAGAGGAAAAAGAATAAAGAAAGAGAATGAAAGAATAAAAGAGATGATTGAAGAGAGTAATAGAAGGAATTTGAAAAGAATAATAATCACAAAAGAAAACATAGAGAATGTGATAACAAGAATACCATCATGGAAAGCACCAGTGATTGACAGCATTCAGGGATATTACTGGAAAAGATTAGAGAGTGTTAGAGACAGATTAGTTGTAGTGTTAATGAATGGTTAGACACTCCAAAAAACATTCCAATAGAAATGCTAACAAGAAGAACTATTCTAATACACAAAGGAGGAGATATCAAAAAGCAGAGAATTATAGACCAATAACATGTCTTAATGTAATAATGAAAATCTTTACTTCAATCATAAAGAGAAAGATAGAAGAACAACTAGCAAATAATGAAGAGAAATACCAAATTAATAAGAGTCAATATGGGAATAAGAAAAGAAGTCTGGCAGCAAAGGAAGTATCATAAGTTTATTAGAAAGAAATGAAAGAGAAGTACAGAAGAAAAGATATTTAGAATCATTCTATAACATTAGAAAAGCATATGATACAGTTAATCATGAATGGTTAGAAATTGTATTAAGATACTTCAAAATACCATTTCAAATAACTGAATTAATAAAAAGTATGAGTAGTAGATGGAGAATAAGAATAGGATATGGATATAAAGAAGAAATAAGAGAAGTTAAAATAAAAATTGTATATTACAAGGAGATTCTCTTTCACCACTCCTATTCATATTACAAATGAATATCATTTCTGATGTTATTGATAAAACAAATGAGAAATGAATAAAAGTGACACACGTACTATACATGGATGATATTAAAGTAACAAGTGAAACAAAAAAAGGAATGGAAATAGTGCATAAAAATATAATAGAAACAATAGAAGTAATAGGAATGGAAGTTAATGTAAATAAAAGTTGAGTAATGAAGAAAGGAAATATAGAAATACAAGATAATATGAAAGACATTCCAATAGTAGACTCAGAACATCAATATAAGTATTTAGGTATTTATCAATTCACAAGAAATGATGATTTGAGATGCATAGAAAGAATAATTAAAAGTGTAGAAGAAGGAATAAAAGAAAACAATAAAGGGAATGACAGTAGTATGAATTATATCAACCGAATTAATACAGAATTAATTCCTAAGTTCACATATAGTACATTTGTAGTTAAATAACCTATAATGAAACTGATAGAAATAGATAAAATGATAAGGAGAGAAATGAAAGAAGGAAAGATTAATGGAGCATGAATGTGTAGTAGCAGATTATATGTAAACAGAAATAAAATGGGAGATGGATTGAAAAACATTAGAGATGAATATGCAATTGAATTAATAAGAACTATTTTGTATTACACATGGAAAAGAGGAGATAGAATAGGAGACATGATACGAATAAATGAAAAGAAGAATGGAATGTGGAATAGATTGTATAAAGCGTGTGGAAAAAGAATAAATAAAGAAGAATTTAGAAAAATAGTAACAGAAGAAGAAAGAGGAAAACGGGATAAAAACAGAATAATTAAGTATGTGAGAGAAAAGTTCCAAGAAGATTATATCAATAAATGGAGAAACAAGAAAGTAAACAGTGAAGTATTGAAATGATTTGAGGATAAAATGACTGAGCAAAATAAAACAGTTAAAGTAAGGAAAGGAATTAATGTTATAAGAAAAGCATATATACAAATAAAGAAGATGGAAGAGAAAGCAACAAATGTAGGAGTAATGAAAGCATTAATGAAACATGATATGAGATATGCAATGTGTCCAATGTGTAATAAGATAGCAACAATAAATCATATTCTTTTGAACTGTATAGTTACTAAGAAAACACAAATGAATAAACATGATAGAATAGGAGAATATATATGGAGGAGATTAAAGATTAAATACCAAATATATGAAAACAAAGAAAAGATGAAGATGAGAGAAGAAGAAAATACAAAAAAATTAATAATAAGGAAAAAAGAATTAGGAAAGAATGAAAGAAGAATAGAGAAAGATAAAATACTTATAGTTTGGAATCAAGAAGTAGTAAACAGAAGTGAAGACAAATTCCATAAAAGAATAGACATTTATGTCAGAGACTTAAATAAGAAAGAAGCAATGATTATAGATATGACAATAGTAAGAGATAAAAACATAAGTAAAGCATTTACAGATAAGATTAATATGTATTCAAAACTACACGAACATATAAGAAAGATAGAAAGATTAGTGAGAGTAATAGTTATACCAGTAGTAATAACAGTTGGTTGATTAATAAACAAAGAAACAGTTAGATTACTAAATGCAGAAGGAATAGAAATACCAAGGGAAATAATGACAAGAGAGATTATAATATCAAATATGAAAGATATTATGAGATATTGTGGAGACAATTCTGGAGAATACAGAGATGTAGAAATACCAGAAGAAGTAGATTCTCAAGAGAGTGAAGGAAGGGAAGAAATTCTCATCTGAACAATAAGTTGAAAGTTATTAAACCTTAATTTAATTATTATTATTTGAATAATGCCTTTCGTCTTCTAATCCATTTTTCCTTGGTATATCGTTTACCTTTATCATTGTTATGCCATTTATTGCTATTGACATTTCTTTTTTTATTGTATGAAATTGGATTTCTATGTCTTGTTTGCTTTTCTTTACAAGACACAATGGTTTTATACATAGCAATTGCATTAAAAATTTGTTGTATTTCCTGCACTGGAAAGTATCTGTTGATCCAATATAATTTAGAAAGAAATAAAAAGAAGAAAAATTGAATGACGGTTATCTTAAAAATAAAAGAAGTTCAAACTAAAAATAAAAGAACTAAAATATAATGAAATAATCAAAAATAATAAAGAAAGAATGCAATTAGGATATAATGAAATAATGATTGTCTCGAAGTATTTTGAAGATATTAATGATTTTATTAATTTAGAAATGGGAGTTAAAAGATTTGAAGGAAATATGGAACGATTTCATTTTAATCCAATTCCATTGAATCAATATTCAAGAAAATTGTTTCCTAATATTGAAACATTTCATATTTATAATGAAAAAGATGAAATATTTAAAGATGGAAAAATATTTAAATATGTAATATGGTATAAAGTGAATTATTCAAGATATTTAAAAGAGAAAAATGAAATGAATGAATGTAAAAATATCAAATATACACAAGAAGATAGAGAAGAATATTGAAATACAATACCAATAGAAGTACATTCATTTGGAAATGAATGTTTTTCTGGATGTTCATCATTAAAATCAATTAATATACCAACAAGTGTTATTGAAATAGGATTTGGATGTTTTGAAGGATGTTTATCATTAACATCAATTAATATACCAACAAGTGTAATTACAATAGGAAATTGGTGTTTTTAAGAATGTTCATCATTAACATCAATTAATATACCATCATCAATTACGTCATTTGGAAATGGATGTTTTTATCATTGTGGATGTGAAGAAGAATTAAAGAAGAATAAAACAATACCAGAATATTGCTTTGAAGAATATTAAAGAAGAAAGAAGATAATTGAATTATTAAAGAATAAAAATAAATTTCATTTTATAATTTAAATGATAAGAAATACATCATAAACAATTTAATTGATAATAAAATAAAGAATGAAATATCAAATTAATGAAATGTGATAAAATCATCCATCATTTATTTAATTATTATTATGTTATGATAATTCATTTTTAATTTATTTCATTTTATTTATTTGTTTCAATATGTTGTATTGATAGAAATATAACATCAATCATATTCATTGATAAATATTGATTATGAATGATAATATATTTCAAATATCAATCATAATTATCATTTCATGTATTTTGTATTAATTTTTGATTATATTTCAATGTTAATGTTTGTGTGAATTGTTGATATTGAATAACAAAGATGATGAATGTCATAATTAATAATATGATGAATGTGTTGTTCAATGAATATGAATAAATTATATTAAATTATTTCATTTTATACAATTGTGTTTCATTTATTTTTGATTGAAATGTATATTCAATGAGAATGATATTTATCATTTTCTATATCTAGTTTATTTTCAACTTATTCATATGATTTGAAGAATAAAATGAATGTGCTATTATTATGTTTAATGTTTCTTATTATTTTTTACAAATATATACACAACATCAAATTATTCATAATTCATTCTATTTGTTTGTCAAATTAATCTATATTATCATGACTGTTATATTTGATAGTGAAGAGTATTTGTAATGATAGAATTTACATTATTAATTACATTGAAATTCTCGTTGTTATTGAATGATTTTTTGATATTATGTGGATCAAGAAATGAAAGAGAATAATTGAAATGGTAAATTACATTACAAAGATGTGGTATTGATTGATTTAATTAATTTTCAAACAAGAAGTGATGAATAAGAAAATAAAAATATGCAATGTGTTTTTCAAGATGAGTGATGAATTAATAATGATAAACAGATATTTTGTTAAATGTCTAGTATCATATTTGATTTGATTTATAATTAAAAGTAAACATAATGAGTTGAAATAGTGATATGAATAAAGTGAATAATAATGATATTTTCATATGATTAAATGAATAAAGTTGATTATTCTTTATAAATATAATTAACATTGTTTGTATTTAAATCAATATTCTAAACATATAGAAATGAAACAAATATTTAATAATTAAATAAATGATAATAATAAACATTCTTATGAGTTTAATTTGTTGATTATGATTTGTTTAACATTTTAACAAAATCAAATAACAAACAATGTAATATGAATATTTTGTTAAATGTGTATTTAATTGATATGAATATTTTCCATTTAACACGTGTTCATTTCATATTTATTCATATCATATGTTTATTGTTAATTATATGTGTTTCTTATTATCTTTTGATTTTTAGATTCTTTCTTTTGTTTTAATCCAATTCAATGAATTTATTTAATAAATGTTCAGTGATGAAATAAATATTAGTTATGATTTTAAACATATTCATTTCATTTGTTTTAATAGTTGTGAAATGATTTGAGTAATGAAAATAAAAGAATAAAGAATAATGAAAATACATTCAATGATAAACAAAGAATATCATCATTGAATAAAATGAAAATCAATATTATTCAATATCAAATCATCATTTCATTAATAAACACATCAAATAACAATAAGATAAGAATGAAAAAGATTAAATAAAATAAACATAACAAGTGACAATAATTACAAATGAATGATAATGAAAATACAACCAATTGATATATATAATTAAATTCTATCAATATATTGTCTTTTAGCTATGGTATGATTTCATAACATAATATACTAATATATTATTATTCATTATTCTTAAAATATTGAAATGAAATAATATGATGATTCTAATTTATTAATTGTTTTATTATTCAATTTGTTTATTTTCATTCAACATTCGATACTTATTACTCAATGTTATTCATAATTAAATTAATTGAAATAAATACAAAAATGAGAATAAAATAAACATAATTATTTGTAATAATGTTATTTTCATTTCAATTCACTCTTTATCTTTATTTTATTGTTAAATTATATTGAATTGATTTAATGAAATAATTAATATTGAAACAAATATGAATAAGAATATATGTTATTTAATCATGAATATATCAAATTTAATAATTTCATCATTAAATGATTAATGTTTAATAACATGATGAAGTATTTTCATGAAATAGATAATTTCTATTCATTATGAATGTATTATTGATATTCATGACACTACTATTTATTTTCATTCAACATAAAATGAAATGAATGATAAATAATGAATAAATAAAAAAGAATGAAAAGAAATGAATAATGATGAAATGAAAGAATATAACTTCAATGAAACATGATGAAGAAAAAGAATAAAAAACAATACAAAACATAAAATAATAAAACAGAATAGAAAGAAGAATAGAATAAGTCATGAATGAAACAAATAAGAAATTGAAAATAAGAATAAAAGTAATGAAATAGAAGTGATTAAAGAATAATACAATAAAACAATAAAGAAAATAGAATAATGAATAAAAATGAATTTGTTTTTAATACAAATACAATATGAAATAAAAACAAATATGAATAATAACATTAATATGAAATGTTGAAATGTTAAATAAAATAATTAAGAAATAACAATATTTATAAAGAATGAGAAGAATATAAATAAATAAAAATATAGAAATACTAAAAGAGAGATGAAAATGAAGATTATTCAATAACTAAATACACATATATTAACAATAATTATTATTTAACTTCAATTATTTATTGATTATTGTATTAATAAATATTATTAAAATGAAAATAATAAAAAGGAAGTGAAACAAAGAATAAAAAGAGAAGAAATATAAAGAGAAAATAGAGAAAAGAAACAAAATAATACTATAATATACACTAATTATTAGGAAGATAAAAATAACAAAAAATAAGAAATAAAGAAAATAGAAAAATAAGTTACCAAATGGATAATTAAGTGTTAATAAAATTGTTATTTATTCATTGATTAATGAATATTAATCACATCATATATCATTAAAATGAATATTTTATTTATTATTTAGATTTTTTTCTTGTTTTATGAATAAATCATTTTATTTCTTTTATTGTCTTTTTATTCTTTTAGAATTTCATCATTTTAATTATTCTCATTGAATTATCATTTATTTATTTCTTATTTTATTCATTGAGTTAATTCATTATCATTGTATTATTATGTATAATTTCATTTAGTATTAATATCTTCATTTATATCATTTTATTTTCTTATTATTATTTCATATTATTTTATTTCATTCGTTCTATTATTATTTATTATATTTCTTATTAAATTAT